CACACATTGTTTTGTGAGTGAGGAAGCAGGAAAAAGAGGCTGAAAGGACATCCTGAGCCCCAGTGGGTGACAGCAGTCCTTTGAGCGAAGGGGATCCACTCCATGACAGCCATGGACCAGGATGAGCAGAACCAAACAAGCAGCTGCTTTGTCCGTGTCCCCTTACCTGCAGAAATGTTGACAGCCTGTCTGGAAGGTGCAGGACAGTTCCCAGCCCACAGCAGCCGTGCTGGGTGCAGGGGCTCTCCCCAGGGCTGGTGGGTTCTGGCTGAGCCCTGGAACACAAGCTGACCACAGGCAGGGCTGTGCTGCCAGGCCCTGACAGTGATTTGCAGCCCTGGGGGAAGAAAAGCCTTCAGAAATCAATAATAGTGGATTTTAAATTAAGTGCTAAATTATCTCACCTTCAGTCACAGTGGATTTACTCCAGAATGGTCTCTACAAAAATTTACTGGTTTTCCATGCAAAAAAATGTGGCAAGTACAGCACACCATCTATTCCCCCTGCCCCCCACAAAAGGAAACAGTAAAAACTCCTTCTTCCTCCCTGAATCTATGTTGAGACACTCAGATTTACCTCACAGTATGTCACTGGTGAAAATATAATGATGTAAAATTATTTGGGGAACCCCTCTTACTGTTGCATCAGGCATAGGTACAACAATGATATCATACATGACTCTGGTGAGCTTATAAATATACAGATAGAAAATGAGCTGCAAGTTGTTTTTCCTCTTGGCTGTGAGACCAAGTGCCAGCAGCTCTGATCAGTGTGCACTTACACCTTCCTGCAGTGCAAGGGAATCTTTTTTTATACTAGGAAACACCTGTGATGGAAAAACAGCAATATAAATACTTCATCATTTCAGCCACAGCTGCTCAGTGGCTCTTGTGCTGAATTCTAAGAGATAGCAAAACCCATAATCATTTCCCTCTTCTGCAGTTTGTAGCCAAAACATCATTACAGTAAAGCACCAGGCTTTGCAAAATGCAAGAGGTGAAATCATGACCCTCTCTTTAGATGTTTGCAGCCTGGTCTGCCACGTGTGCCTTGTTTGCTGCTCCCAGGGGTGCTCCTCAGGTACCCACCACGTGCCTGGCAGTGGGAAGTGACTTTGGAGTCCTGAGTGAGCTTCAGTGGTGCTCTTTGTGCTGCTGTGGCTGCTGGAGAGAAAGGGCTGCTGGAGGAAAAGGACCTTCTGACAACACACCAGGACAGATGAATTTCTCAATGAATTTTTGTAGCTCTAGGCTCTTGGTTTGACTCCATCAGCCCTGCTGAAGGCTCTCGATAAGGATGTCCCAACCAGCCTGGTGGTCAGGCACTCCAGAGGTTCTTCAGATGCCAAATCTGCCTGTGAAGTGATGGGTCACAGCCTGTGCCCCTTTGTTTGGTGTTTTTGGCTGTATCCAGCTCCTGTGGAGAGGTTGTGGTCCTGGGGGAGCTGTGTGGCAGCTCTGGGAAGAGGGAGGAGCTCTGTCCCTGCGTGACACCAAAGGTTTTTGTGAAGAATGGGGAGCTGCAGGTGCATGGAAATGCTGATGGATTGTCCTAGAGAAAGTGTCTGTGACACTGGGGGCAGTGTCCCAGTGCTGGCCTCATTCACTCCATCTGCCCCTGGGTTGGGATGGTGTGAACAGATTCACATTTGCAAATGGAGGAGAATTATAAACTCTCTGAATTCTGTCTGAGAACTGGGCTCTCTGGTCAGTGCTGGGAGGCTCTGGCATCAGCAAATCTGCTGTGGTGAATGTGATGTGAGATTTTGTGGGGATTCACTGGCCCCATCCCAGCTTGGATTGGGTCAGATCCTCATCCCTTACACTCTCTTTTTTGCACTTTCTTTGCCTTTCATATAGCAAATAGCTCCTACCAGTGAATGTCAGGATTTTTTCTCATGAGCAGTTACAGACATGTTAATTTTTCCTTAAAGAGACTTAAAAAGAGTCAAACTCCATACCCTGGTGCACACATTGTATGTAATAATTAAAAGCTCTTATTGCACCAAGTTTTGCTTTAAATATAGTTCACAATTGGCTTTGGACTACAGAAGGAAAAAGTGATTCTAAAGCGATGCATGATAGAGCAGCCTGTGAAATTCATATCCCTTCTGAAAGCTGGGTGGGGAGACCTCTCCCAAGGAGAGCTGGAGGGTGGAAACTGGAGACACAAAGAGAGATAAAGAAAAGAGAACAAGAAGACTCAAAGCAATGAAATATTCACCCCTTCCTAAATAAATACCTAAACTCACTTAACAACCCAACTGGATGGGTGTGGAAAGATGTCCCAAGGGAGAAGTGTTGAAGGACAAAAGAAACAATGAGGTTTCACTCTGACTTGAACCAGCCCACTGTGAAGGGTGCAGCAAGGCTGGCAGTGCCACCAGGGTCTGACCCTCGGGGTTTTGTGGTGTTTCTGGAGCTCCTATAGCATTTAGGGACCACTAACATCCCTGGCTTTTATCTTCAGCTCAAAAAAGAAAATTTGGTGTGCTGAATGTGAAAATGAGGGTGTCTTTTACTCCAACCTGCCTCACACCTTGCTCTCCACAGCCCAGGGCATCCTCTGAGGATTCTCTGGGTGCTCTCTTGCCCAATGATTGAAAATTATCAGAATTTTTTTGGAGTGTCTGTAATGCTCTGTGGAGAAGCCCAATGCAAGAAAACAATCAAAGAATGGATATGGGTGTTTATTTCTTCACTTTTCTATTCATTCAGCCTGACAATGCTCTAAGAGGAGTGTCAGGGGTGGGGTGGACCACGAGAGGAAGGGGCACAGGTCCATGGAGCCTCTTTCCCCTGGCTGTGCTGCTCGAGGTGACATGCTGCAGCATCCCCAAATTGCTCACACATCTGTTCCAGCACCAATGAGTCATGTGATGTTTGAAACACCAAATATTCTTTTCCTGCTTATCAACACTGCAATTATGGCCTGTCAGGGCTTTATGCTCTACTCAAAATAAACACCCACATGTTCAGGTTAACCCTTCAGCTCTCTGGGACTGGGGGGTTGCACAGCAATTTGGGGGTGAGCAGGGACCACAGGGCTCTTGCTGTGGGGTGAAAATGGGGGAGAAGGGCAGTGACTTGTGCAGGATGTTGGTGCCAATGCCAGGCTTTGAGTTGAAGCTCTAGACTATTTGCTCAAAGGCTTTCATAATAGTTCACCTTTTTTGCCATGTGATGTTATGAATACAGTGCAGCTACCTTGGCTGTGGCAAAGTTTTGAAGCATCCTTGGAAGAATTGATAATAAATTTTTTAGAACCCCTCTTTCTCCTGAATCATGGGAGTTTTTTTTCTGTGTAACTGAAATTTTACAGGAAAGAAACATATTTTAAGGGAGTTTTAATTTTCTGTATTAAAGGATGGCTTGCTTTTGATCTACCAACCAGAGACTTTAATGATTTTATTTTACAAAAACGGGATGAGAACTAAAAGGTTTTAACTTTTTTTTTTTTTTTTTTTTTTTTTTTTTTTTTTTATAATTTTTTTTTTTTTTTTTTTTTTTTTTTTTTTTTTTTTTTTTTTTAGAAACAGAGAACATCTTTCTGCCTTTTTACTCAGGAAAACCAATGTTTTCTTCTTCTCAGCTGCTTGAGCCTATGTTAATGCCAGTGTGGGACATACTGCAAAATCTCTTGCCTGCACAGATGCTGCAAGAGGCTTTTCTTCACTTTGGTGGCCAGACAGGGTTTGTGTGCTGGTTTTCAGCACTCCCAGCCTCTGCTGCCCAGTTCAAGCCTTACCCAGCAGAGCTGTGAAGGCAGAGAGGCTTTGGGGCATTTTGGGGCACAGGGAGGAGAGGTCAGGCTGTGCTGAAGTACAAGCTGTGAGTACATCCAGTATTTACCACTGCTGCAATCTGAGTCTTTTAGACACAACCTGAGTCATCTTTCCCAGGCCACTTCTGCTTTGTTTTTTGGGATGAACTTGGAAGTTCTCAAGAAAGGCTCTTGGCTATGTCAGGTCAGGAGCAAGGTGGTAGAGCCAGCCTTGGGATACCTGCCCTGCTTCTGCCTCTGGAAGTGCTGGGGTCTCTGTCTGCTCTTTGGGCTCTGAATTCCCCACTGAATTCACCCCAAAGTAAGAAAATGAGCAGAGAGGCTGCAGGAGGGGTCACAGATGTGCATTGGCTCTGAGGGACTCTGCTCTTCCTTTCTCCATGACCTTCCCCTCCCCACTTTTCACACCTCCCTTGGCTTTGCTGTGCAGTGTTTTGTTTGGGGACTTGGAACTGCACAGCAGTTAATAGTAATGCTCTGCAATGCAAGCTTTTTTATTTATTTATTTATTTATTTTTACTCTCTATTGCTGCTTAATGGCCTAAACATCTTGAATGCTTTTGATAAGTTGACTGAGGTGTGTATATTGAATTCCTGGTGTTTCTGCTGTGAAGGGCTCTGAGCAATGAGCAATGTCAGAGCTGATCTGCAGCTCTCAGGGCCTGGGACATGCTGCAGCAATGTCAGGAACCACAGCCCAGCTCATGTAGAAATCCTGCTTTATGGATGCTGCTCCAACACCTCCCCTGCAGAAAATGTCAGTGTCAAATAGGGAAGAAAAGCAATGGGATTGACTTGGACTAAGAGAAGCTCAGTTGTGTCCCAGCCTGCTCTTTATCAGTGTCACATGGGACATTCATTATTCAATTTTATCTCTGCCTTGGGATTACTTATTTCTTTAAAAGAGAGCTTGCTGCTGATTTTCATCTTGAATGGCAGTACTGATCCAGTACAACATTCCAGCTGTTTAGGTAAAGTTACCCAACTTGCAATTTTGCATCCATCTAAAAAAAAAAAAAAAAAGCTATGGTTATAAAAATGTTATTTATACTTTAAGAATTGATATTTCCAAACATCCCTTTTCCTACTATTTATTATTTTGCCTTTGGAGGATAATGTTTGGAAATGTTTCTTTTCCTCCTGGAGCTGTGTTGGATGCTGCCCTGCACTGGCTGCTGCTGGGATCTGGAAGACAAGCCCTTGCACAGCTCTCTGTGCCGTGCTAGACAGGTGAGCTGAGTGGAATCCTCCTCCAGAGGTGCCTCACAGCTGTCTCAGTGGCAGCAGGGTGGCAGATGGAAGCACAGCTGGATTGCAGAGGCTGAGGGGGATGCTGCTAATGCGGGGTGCCAGCCTGGCACAGCCCAAAGGGCTCGGCTGTTCTGCACTTGGCTCTGTGCTTTGGAGGGGCTTTCAGGCCTCAGTGGCCAAGGTGGCTTCAGTGCAGCCTCTAGCAGTGCTGTGACATAGCCCTGCCCTTCTGGGCTCTTCAGAGAGCTGAGTTTTTCATGCATCTGCTATTTCTGAGTGAGTCAGAACAGACCATGGGTGTCCCACTGCCTAAGTCCACACTGCAGCATGAGCTGGGCATGATTTGAAATACTCACAGAAGTTTCATCTCCAGACAGACATGGGCAAATTGCGACTGCAAGGGTGCAAGCTCAGCAGCTGGGTTTGAACCTGTGCCTCTGTAAGATAAATTTCCCATGCCTGTGAGCAGCAAGCCTCAGTTTCCCCTCTCACGCAGCCAGCTCAGCTCTCTGGCACGCCCTGGGATGTGCTGCTCTGCCCATCACATCCTTGAAGCACCCAGCTCTATCCCTGGCTTGCTCAAGGGGCAACAAGGAAGCCAAAATAACCCAATTCAGCTCCAGCTTCCAAGCCCAAGCCATTACCCAGAATCTGAGTGCTCTCCCTGCTGAGCTGTTACTGCTGCAGGTTCTGCTCCACACCAAAAACAATAGCCCTTGACAAAGCCAAGTTCTTCAGGTCTCCAGGTCTCCCAAGCCAAATACAGCAACCATTTCCCTGCTCTTTCTCTCTCTCTCCACTGTGCTTTTGCACTGCAATTCCCACTTTCCCAGAGGTTGCAGCATTCCAAATTTTCCCTTGTGCCCAACAGGAGATTTGTGTGTTCTGGGGTGTTCAGAGCATGAAATACCTGCTCTCGGTGCTGTAGCTGGAGCCTGGAATGTGTTTCTCAACATCACAGTTTGGTTTGTGATGATTCAGTTTAGTGCAAATGCCACAGTTGGGTGATACCTGATTTCGACACCAAAATGACATTTGATTTGTTTACAATAGAGAGTAAAGGGAAGTAAGAAATATGTTACTTTGAATTTCAAAGAGAAAATCCTCATCTGAAGAGATCAAATGCCTTCTTTGTATCTTTTAAGATAAAGCGCTTTTGATACTATCACAATCCACCTCTGGATTTTGGGATAAGAAATATTCTTATCCAATAGAAAAAATATTTTGCTGAAAACTCGGTTGCTCTGCTTCTGAGAGAAATATCTGACACCTGTAGAAAGATATGTTACTGGAGAAAACTTTCAGTGGTTGTACATGAAGCCACAGCTGCTTCTGGCTTGCCTGAGTCAAATTCCCAGTCCAGCCTGGCAGAGCTGGTGGTGCTGACAGCCAAGGACAGCGAGGATGCTGCCATCAGCTCTTGTCCCTTGCAGGGCACAGGTGAGCCCACGCTGGCTGCTGCTGGCAGCTACACAATTAACCTTGCTAATCAGCAGCTCTCTGAGGAAGGAAGTGTACTGCTCCTGCAGGGAATTCATTTTTTGCTTCAGGTTGATTGATATTCATGTTCTTCAATATTTCATCGCTCCTATGCTGAGAGTGTCAGGTCTGGCTGGAGCAGGAGGGGTTTTTCCTCTGCTAAAGCAAGGCGGAATTGCTCTGCAGGAGCTGGTACTTCCCTGCAAATCTGATCTGGGAGTTGCTGGAATGCTTAATAACACTTGAGGAAATACAGGGCAAGGAAGACAAGGGAGTAAAACCTACAGGGGAAAACATCAAGTGAGCTGAAGTAGCAGAGGGAAAATAAGGATTTGAGGTGGGATTTGGTGGTTCCCAGGAGCTTGGCTGGGTTGTGCTGTCAGCTGGTCCCATGAGCCTGGGTCTAATGTGGGTCTTGCGCTCGTGGTTATTTAAAACTCAAACTGAGTTGGAGAGTGTTGGTGTCTGTCCCAGGTGAACAGAGAAGGTCTTCCTGATTGTTTCTCTGCCTTACTGTGTTTCTCCACATTTTCATAGAACATGGTGATGGTCACCAGGGCTGCTGCTGGCTGGAAACTGATGGTACATCCAGGTGGACCCTCATGGCTTATTGTAAGTATTGTCTGGGAAGAATCCATTGTGAGAGGAACAGGATTTGGTCTACCTGTGGAGCTGATGGCTGGCTTTGTCCAGGTTCAACTTCATTGAGTGCACAGACACCCTGACCTTTAGCCTGGCTTATGGGGTGGCCAGCATGAACTGGAGGAATGTGGGGTTTGCTGGCTACAGAGTCTCTGTGTCAACAGATTTTTTGCAGTTTGACACAAAGGAGTTCAAAAACCAATAGTAAACTGGCCCTGCTTCCCATGGGCCAAAAATGTCTGAAGATGATCAGTTTGGAGCTGTCAAAATGTTTCCTTCAAGTTGTTTTCAGCAGGAAGATGATCTGCTTGAGCTGAGCCCTGCTCAGGGCAGAGCCCAGTGTTTGCTCTGCTCCAGCCGGGTGGTTTCCCCAAATCTTGGCAGAGTTGAGGAGGAAAGGGATCCACAGTATTTTGGGGAAAAGAGGGCTCTCCATCAGCCTCCCTTAAACTAATCCTCTCCACCCTCACAGGCCCCTCAGCAGTGCTCTGCTCTGGAGGATATCAGGCACATCTCCCTGCTCCACTCCTGCTGTGCCCTTATGGTGCCACTGCTGTGACCTGCCTGAAGGACATTCGCAGGGCAGGGCAGGGGTGCTCTGGAAAATGGAACAGCCCTGTAGAGTTAGAGCTGTATCACCATGCTTATGTACAAGTGGTGCAGCATGGAAGCTTTTCAGGCAGCTCTATTTCTGGCATTTTGTAACTTTGGAGTGCCTGCTTTTGCAACCTGAATAATGTTCCTTTAAGTATAGAGTTTGGGAGGGTTTTTTTTAGGATGTAATTATAATCTTGTTCTACATAATTTAACAGCATCAGGGCAGGAGATTTTTATCCAAGGCTGGGAGTAATTGTCAGGCTAGTATTGAGCAGCCAAGCGGCTCGAGGGAAGGACAAAGCTGCTCATCTCCCAGTCACAAAGCAGAGAAGAGGACAAGCCCACCCCTGGGTCTGCACACAGAGCCTCTGCAGTGGGCAGGATGCCTTGTGAACTTTGGAGAGGCACGTTGAAGGGTAAAGATCATCACCAAAATATCTGCACCAGAGATGGAGAACAAATGAGTGGCATTTGGACTCTGTTCCATGGGCATGGTGGCATGCCCAGAGCTGACTGCCATCTCCTGTCCTGCTCTTGGTGTGAGGTGTGAAAGGTTTGAGGGTTACCTCAGGCTTGGGCCAGCAGGGTTTGGGAGCTGGGGGTGTCAGTCAGCTCAGCAGAAATGTCATTGACCAGCAACTGCATGAGAGGGCCTTGGATGCTCCTTCCTCACTGTCCCCTTTGGGACCTTGAGTCATTTGTGGTGATGGGTCCATAAAAAGCTGCTGGTGGTGGTGACCAGCACCAAACTCAAAGAACTGCTGCCACCAAAGTCTCCTTGCCCAAGCATCTGAATGTGGGTCAGTGCTGACCCAGTTTACATGGCTCTGATGATGGGAAGTAGATGGAATTTCATCTTTGCTTCTGCTTTCCTGCATGTGTTGATCTGCATGGCCAAATCTCACCTGGAGAGAGGCCAGGAGGGGTGGGAGAGGACTCTGAAAGGGTACGAGGGAACAACTGATTTCCTAGATCATTAATTTGCTATTTGCAGCCAGAGTGTTACTGGCTCAGGATGAAGGACTGCCAGGGCCAGCAGTGGAAATCTGCAGATGATTTCTCTTCTTAAGGTCACTGCAGAGTGGCACAGAGCTCGTGTCATGACACTGGAGAAACAGGAGCAGTGAGTGCTTCCCAAATTCCTGTGCACAGACCACATCCTCAGAGCCCTGGGTGCTGAGGACAAGGCACGATGTGCAGGTGGGGCAAGGACACTGGAAGCTGCCTGGTCTCCCCTGTGCCCTTCTCTGATTTGGGTTGCAGTCTCTCTCTCCTTGCTTTTGTCTCAGGATTAACTTTCTGGTTGAAGTTATCAGGTAAAGCCTCCTGGTTTTGACAGCAGAGGATCTGGATTCCCTCCAATGCCACTTCTAATTTTGGTGTTCTTTAACAGGGGAAAGCCTCCTGGATAGCTCTGCCAGCTCTGATTCTATGTCTTTCACTGGATGCTTTGAGTTAAAAGAGTGAAAAATGGAGTGTGGTGGAGTACTAGCAGAAAGTCAGGTTTTAAAACAAAGTTAACCAATTTCTCCACTCACAGCCAAGTCCATCACAGCTTCTGACTTGACTCCGTTCCTGTGGCAAGACCTGCACTCAGGGCATTTGCCTACCAGGTGCTGGGATACTCAACCCTGTGCTGCAGCAGGTTCTCCTCATACAGCACATCACTCACTGTTTGAATAATTCTGTTTTGATACTGAATACTCAAAACTTTTATCATCTGGTTCAATGGGGTTAGTAAGCAGCTACTCCTTGGGAAGCAGAGATTTGTGAAGGGCCATGTGTTGTGCCCATGAAATGAAAACCTGGATGATGTGTCTGCCAACAGAGAATGAGGCCCCTGAACATCTCCTGCCCTGGGAAACCCCTGTGTGTGAGCAGAAATCCTCATTTCTCCTGACAAAAGCAGAACATCTCATTTACTCATGTTTGCTGTTTGCCTTTCCCTCTCCTTCCTGGCGGCTGTTTAATACAAACCTTGGATTAGTGGCACGTCAGATGCTGTGGAAAAACCTGCTCTGGGACAGATTTCTTGGCCTCTGCTTTGCTCTCGGGTGGGAGATCTTGTCTCATACTGAGAAAAAAAAACCCTGAGTGGGGCTGGGAGCCAGCAGGTGCTGGGGAGGAAAGGGGGCTGCCAGTGGTGGAAAATGTGCTGCTGCTGGTACAAATTTGCCTTCCCACTCTCTTTGAGCACATGAGGAGGTGGCACTGATCAAGTGGCAAGTGACAGCACCCAGACCCCCTCTGTGTCAGGCTGTGCAGCCCCTGCAGTGTTTGCAGCCTCTCGCTGCAGTGTTCAGCTGCCTTGCTGTACTAATGGCTCTGAACTCTTCCTTCTGAGGGCAGTGATTCAGGTGTTGCTGCTCAGTCATCAGACTGTGCTTCCTATTTAATTTCTGATGAGTATAACGGAGATCTTAAATGCACTGCAATTGAAATCACAAGTGCCTTCCCTGTGGAAGGGTTTCAAGGTGCTCCTCCTTTTTGCCCCTGGATTTTGGGGATTGAGCTGCCCAGCAGCAGCAGAGCCTTTTCTTGTGATCCAGAGTTAACTGTGCAGGTGGCTGGGTGTTAAAAAGTGCTTGGTAACTGAATACAGAACAGCACCTGCAGTTATGCAAAAGAATTGCCGAGGTGGAGACTTTAGGAAGAGCAGATGAAACCTCCCACCTTCTTCATTCACATTATCACATCAGGGAATTATAGAATAGTTTGGCTTGGAGGGACGTTACAGATCATCTAATTCCACCCCCTGTCACAGGAAAGGACACCTTCCATATGATATCTTAGAATACCTGTCCTAGGAAGCATAGAGATTTTAGCCTGAGCTGGGTGGGAAGCACGTTTTCAATTCCACAATATTTTTTTGAGCTGTGAATGGGAAGAAAAATCTTCAAAATATTCTGCAGACTGAAAAACCTGGAAAAAAAAGTCAAGTTGGGTCAATAAAAAGAGGTGAGATAGTGGTAGATGACTCCAGCTTGATTTTGCAGTCAAAATGGTATCTTCATAAAGGAAGCCAGTTTTTGTGTGTACTGAATGTCACAGTGTTTCAGCAGTTTTCTAACTTTTTTTTTTTTCCTGAAAATTGAGCACATTCCTGGACAAAAAAAAAAAACCTGTAAATTTTTTTTTACAACCTATTGAACTGTCTGATCCCTTTGTGCTATACTGAAGGGTATGAACACAAATTTATAGGGTTCCCTAAATCTGACCTGCCTGATTGCCTCTGGAGATGCTCCTAATTCTCACCTGCTTTTCTTGAACGTCCAAATTAAACAAACCTTTTCTATGTGTTCAGTGAGAGCTGGTCTTCCATCTCTGCCCATGTTTTATGAGTCATTTGCTGAGCTTCTGCCTGGAAATGGCCATGTTTCAACAGAGCTTGAAAAGCACTTTAGAATGAGCATCTCTATTACAATAAAGTCACTAAGCAATGGAATACACTAAATTCTTACCTAAATAAATGTAGTTCTGTTAAAAATAAATTCTCACCTACCAGCTCCTTCTATGAAAATGGAGAACTAGAAAAAGTAGACAGGCTGTATGGAGGGCTCTGCTAATTTTAACACACTTTTTTCCATGTTTGGAGAAATTTGATTTATTTAAAAAATCTTGGTGCAGTACTGCTGATTTTTTTTTTTCTTAGATCATATCTGAAGGATGAAGATATAATCTAAGATCCTTTCTGTCAAATTAAGTTTGTTTTACATTTAACAGCTGCAGGTCAGGGACAAAAAGTGGCTTGTTGGGGGACCAACAGGTGGCCAAAGGCAGCATCAAGCCTCCTGGTTCACTGGTATTTAACTTCAAACACAGAGTATGTCCACACAAACACCTCCATTCAGTAGCTGTTACACTCTTTGAGGTGGGTGCTGTGCTCTTCTTTGCCCATCCTGGTGGTTCCAGAGATGACCATCACCCACAGGAACCTGGCTGGACCCTGGCTGGAGCTGCTTCTGCTGCTTAATCCTTGTGATGGATCCTGCACTTCACTGGTGGGAGAGAAAAATTAAAGAACCTTGCTGGTCAACCTCACAAAAAAAAACCCCAAAAAACAAACAAACAAAAAAACCCAAACAAAACCAAAAAACAAACAAACGAAAAAAAAACCCCAAAAAACCCAATTCCCCCCGAAAAAAACTTCAAAATATTAAATGAACAGATCAATTTATGATCTTTTTTCTTCTTCCTTTCACATCAGAGGAGCTTTTATGTTTCTAACTATAATTTTTCAAGATTTCCTATATAAAAAGTTTTCCTCATCCCTTGATTTTAAAATGCTTCTACTGTAAAATGGAAATATTTTGTTTTCAAATCACTTAAATGAAATAATTGAAGTTTACTCCTGCTTTTCACTCTATCCTGTTCAACAAAAACAATTTGGCAACGTTTGTATTCAGTTGTGAGATGTTTGGGAACTCCCAAAACTGTGTGGTTTTACTCTGAATGCTGGGAAGTGAAGAGTGCCCAGTGGAGCAGAAAAGTGAGGGATTTTCCCAAATCTTTGATGGATGATGAACAGTACAGTGGCTAATGGAGAAAAGATGCTCAGAGTCTATGGAAGAATTGTGTTGCTGCAGAGATATTGGATAACACCCCTGAATGCCTGGAGCTAATTTAATACCTGTATGACTGCATGAGAAGGGAAATTAGGTGAAAAATGATAAAGGTGTATAAAGGTGGTATTAAATGGACAACACCACTCATGACAGAGTTTGTACTGCTGTAAGGTCAAAGGTTTGCCAGTCACAGAGAGCAGGAATCCTCATGGAACAGATTAACACCAGCCAGCTCTTTCTCAGCAGCTTCTTCAATTGAACTGACATTAACCCTAACCCAAACCATAATTCTAGCCCAACCCCTAATCCTTACCCCAACCCTATTTTTCAAAGAGAATTAAAAAAATTAATTACCCAAGTTCACTCCTATCCTCTGTACAAAAGTAAAAAATGAAAAAAGTCACAAGGTGGGACTTTATTCCCTATTTGTCCTTCAGGTGGGAAGTCATTGCCTTCGTGTCTCCTCGTGTTTCCTCAACTTCTCTCCTTGCTGCATTCACCCAGGCTCACCCTGGAGATAGGAATTCTTCCACTGGGTACATTCTGTGAGATAAATTGACATCTCCTCAATGAAGAAAACTAAATCAAAATAAATTCTCTGTTGTCCTAGCTGGTGACATTTATAAATCTGCTGCAAGGTGCCAAATTTCAAAGTATTACAGCAAGGATGTTCACACTTCAGCTTCAGATTTAGATCTTCCAGAACAGGAATAAGGCTTGACATATACAATCTAATTAAGAAAATGACAACTACTAAAAGGCCATGGGAATTTGGTATCTGAAATTCTTATGAAGGCTTTAAATCATTTTAAATCACACAAGGGTGCTTGTCATAGGCTTCTGATGCCTGGAAATATTGCACAACCTTTTTCATATTGCACCTCTCCCTTCCATGGTTTTCCAGGACAGGTTTGTCCCTGCTGTCCCAAATGCCAAATGGGACATCGAGAGTGGAAATGTTTGTGCTGGGAAGAGTCAGAACCAGTCTTAGAAGCAAGGGTTGGTTTGTCTGGCTGCTGAACTGCATGACATGCTTTTTCATTCATTTGAGCTGCCTAGAGGAACATCAATGCCTTTTGCAAGGGAAAACATGATATTAAAATAGAGTGGAGAAAGAAATAGGACAGACTAACATCCTGGCTGAAACACCACCTCTCTTTGGGGCAGCAGGAGTTGTCAAAAATCCCATTTGCAGCGCTAACACTTCAGTAGGGGGTTAGCAGTGCCAGGGATCAGATGGATAATTCCCTTCAAAATTATTGTTTTACTTCACTCCATCCAATTACTCAAGTTGTTTTGCTATCCCACAGATCTCTCCCTTAATGTCAACAAAATGATTACAGCCTACAAGAGCAGCAAGATGTTTCACCCACAGGAGCTCTGGTGAAATGTTTTATGGCGTGGCATGTTGAAAGGAGCGTTTGAACAATCAGCTTCCCTGCCACCGAGGGAAAACACAAACACAGGCACCAAAAATGTCACAGGGCAGGTACAGCATTGTGCAGATGGGCAGCACGAAGGGCTGGTGGTGGTGGGGAAAGCTCAGTGCTGCATTCCTGGCTTGGGAATTGTGGTTGGCAGCTCAGCCCAGCCCCACTGATGCTGAGGTTCCCGGATCTCCCAGCGCCGGATTCTGCAGTTCCAACATATTGATCAAAAAGGAGGTTTTGCAAATGAACATTTAGAAATTCCCTGGTGCACCAGTGCACCAGTGCACCAGCACTCCTCTTTTCTTGGTAATGGAAGCTACAGAAAGCAGTTTGATGAAACAAGCCAGATCTGAAGGCAGCAGATACTGAAATCTGGAAGATTTAATTGAATATTTTTATTACATATTTTTGGAACCTTCATTATCCCCCCACCCTCCAGGAATTTAATTACCTAAGGAAAATTATACTACTGATTACAAGATTGCAGGTTTATTTTCACTGCTGAGAACTCTTTTTTTTTTTTTTTACAACTCACATTACACTTGCATGACTTGTTTTGTAACATCTTGAAATTTTTAATGCTATGATGAGGAAAGGTACTTATATATATATATATATATAGGTGAACTAGGCAGAATACTTGATTTGCAGTCTTTTTGAAGGGAAAAATGTTATTTTCTTGGTTTGAGTAGACCTGTATATGGTTTCTTTGAGCTATTGTATAATGAGTTCACAGGATTTCTCTCAGGATGTGCCTTGTGTTTGTCCTTCAGGCTGGGTGCGTGAGGAACTGAGAGAGGTGTCTTTAAAACATAGAAAGGAATGTTTTATATAGGGGAATAAAAATAAATTATGCAGAAATTGTGACTACAGTATGTATGAAATTAAACTGGCAAGTATACTGTGGTAAATATTTGACAGGCAGGACAACAATTTAGCCAGATTCTCAGTTTTTCCAATAAATCATTGCAGCCAGCCAGCACTGCATAGTGAGTTAAGGTCAGGAGAGATTTCCAAATGTGTTATGATGATTATCTAACAATTCAGTTAATAGAGCCATGGAATTGGATGAGATTTTTGTCATTTCTCATGTCACAGCAACAGAGACCTTTGACTGAAACAACATCATGAATATTGGATAAGATCCTGCAGTGCTGCTTCTCCGTTATGATATTATCCAAGGATGAAGGTTACAAATACATGAATTGTACTCTTCATTTTCCAGCGGGTAAAAACAAAGGAAAAAAACCCCCCAAACAAGTTTCAATACACAACTAGATATAATATAGCTTTTTCTTTATATATATATATATATATATATATCTGTATATATATCAAGTAAAAAAATCTAAAATAGTTGGAAGTAAAAAATGAAAAAATAGCTGATAGTGTTATTTTTTTTCTTTACAGTGATATGGTAGCAAATACAAGACAAATGAATAATAAACCTTTACATAAGGAGTTCTGGTCCCACCTCCATCAATAGGGCTCAGACTAGAATACAAAATGGAACAAGGTGTTTTTGCTTTTTTGGCTACAGCTTCTGTAAGTGACAAAAATTATGTTGATAAGACAGAAAAAAATTATAGCACTACACAAAATAAAACTCCAAAGTGTTTTCCAAAAGACCTTACAAACACCATAGGGTACAATTGACTTCTGAACTGAGGGAGCAAACACAAAGTCACCAAGTCCTACCGAGGCTGAAAATACTGTATGCCTATCCCAGCCTGACCTCAAAATACATCCTTTTTGTCCATCTTACCATTAAAAAAATACTTATCAGTGCTTCCCCCCACCCCTGCAGTCAGTATTAAAAAGCCAAAGCCACAAATCCATCCAGTGGACTGAGCCAGGTGTGAGACCTCAACGATGCACAAGTGGTCGTCTGCCCTTTGTCCAGCAGTGAATTTCCCCAGAATCTTTTACACCGAAAACACCAATTGACTAAAGCTTGGCCAATGGTCACACTGAGCCCTATTTTAGCTGTAGAAAAGAAAGTACTAATCCCAGCATAAAACAAGATCATAGAGACAGTCAACACAAAACAGTAACTTTTTCAGTTGTCTGCATAATAATAACATCATGTTTGCATATAGAACAGCCTTTGCATTATTGCTCTACTTAGAAGAATATAGTAAGGAACTCATACCAGACTTGCACATTACAAACTTAAGGTTCTTTGGTGAAGAATGAGCAAAACAGTATTTTCACTGTAATTAAACTTCAGAGAAGTCTCCTTTCCTATCTGCTGATCCTTTGGATTCTCTCGCAGAGCAGGGAAAGGTATTGAGTCAGCTTTACCATGGCGACGATGGCGACCCCACCGATCATCATGCAGGTGGGCCAGAACAGGGAGTGGAACAGCACGTTGGAGCTGTACAGTTTGGTGAGGATCACGTTCTTCTGCACGCCCTCGGGGTCGTAGAAGCAGGAGAAGCGTTGGTACTTCCTGAAGTTTTCCATCACCACGTTCACCAGCGACATGGATTCCTCGTAGTTCTTCCCGCACTTGGGGATGTATGAACACTGGGGAGAAATCAGAGGGAGAAAAATGTCTCCAAACCTGTTACAATGTCTGTTTGCAGGTGGCAAGTGGGGAAATCTCCAGATGATTATGCTTTTCATAACAAGAGTGGAATACTATTACGCTAATAATGAATTTATCACAGCAAAACTCAATATTTTGCACATCTACGGAATTTCCCATTGGAGAACCTCCAAGTGCTGTTCAAACATTAATGCTTTAATCTGCACAGTGCCTTGTGAGATAGGTGAATATATTATTATTGCTAATTTACACATGCAAAAATAGAACTGATGAAGTACCTCTTCATCTTAAGTGGCACACATATGTTTGCAGTTAGATGGGTAATTGACCTTCTGTAAATACAAATCTGGAAGTTTAGCTCTCACTTGGCTTGGATCAAAGTGGTCACAGTGAGCACAGGAGTACACTCAGAGGGGAGAGGGAGAGGAGAGACCTTTACACAAATATTCTCATGGGGGTAATGCCTCAGCTAGAGACAAATAAGTAGTCTAAGTTTTCCTACTGACAGCCTCTAGCTGAAGATCAACCTGGTTGCCAGGGTGGCTTTTTGTGATTCTTTTGCTTTTGACCCCAGCAAAAGTCAAACAGTTCCTCCTCTCTGAAGATGATCCTAGAATTTCAGTTTTAGTCCGAAGGGAAATAAAATTTGGGGGTGGCTCTATCTAGCACATCTGCAACCTAGATTTCCAGAGAATACTAAAGGCAAGTTATTTTAACAACTGCTTTATGGAGTCCGTGCACTGAAGATATTCCATGGGAAAGGCAGGACAGTGGCCCTGGGCTCTGCTGACCACTCCCTGCCAAGAGCTGTGCAGGCTGGTGAGGTGGTAGGCAGACACAAGGGTTGAGGCCAAGTCTGGACAATTTTTGACCTAGAGCAGAAGCCCCTCTACTTGCTGTTGCTCCTGCTGGTCTGGAAGATGATTGATGGGAGCAGCCCAGGGCCTCTCACTTCCTTCTCTCTTCTATGCACTTAGACCCCACCAAATCTGAAAGTTTTCTACACCTGCACAGGATTTTGAATTACTGCTTCTGGAGGAGTGGAAATCTGCTTCTTGACTTCTTGTTGGACATGCAGGCTGCTTGTCCTGGTGAGAACCTAAAGTAGCCCCAGATAATTTATAATTTATGAGTTTATAATTTAATAATGAAAAAGTGAGTTTTGCTAAAGAAAGATGTTTTGATTAAAATAATGTGACCCATGGGTTTTGATTATTACTGTTTTAATGTACATACTTTATAAATGTCCCTCCATTCTTTTTCATGATGTGCTGTGAGTTCTTTTTTTAAACACACTGCAACAAATCTCTAGTCCTAATTATGATCAAAGGATTAACCTCATAATAGGATTTGATTGATTCATTGGCAAGTTATTAACACAGAATATGATCTGAAGCATGGCAGAGATTGTCTGGCGTTAGCAGACTGGAGCATTAATGGTGGAGCGTGGCCACACTGCCATTATGAATATTTCATAGAGCTCTAGAAATTAGAGATGAAAAATATCAGAGCATTAATATCTCATCCATCTTGCTGCTGGTGTGTGTCTGCTCCCTATAGGATATTCTCTTGTACTCTGACCAAATTTTTCTTAGATGTCCAAAGTCATGAGCCTTCTTCCAGTGCCTATGAGTCCTTAATGGATCATAATCTACTAAGTAGGGGAAATTTCTCAGGGAAGCGTTCCTCATTTTCCCTTAGAAAATTGTCTGCTTTCACTGTCATAACAGCAGTATTTCCAGTTCAAATGGGTTGGTGTTGTGGTTTTTTCGGGGAATTTGGGGTTTTTTTCTTGTCATTTTTTTGCTATTCATTTCTGTTTCTGGAATTCCCATTAAGTATCCTGAATGAGGTGATTAAATGAGAACTTGGCCACTTTGGCAAATACAACTTCTCATTGACAGAAAACAGAAGGTATGTAGAAGCCAAAGGGATGAAAGATTCCTGGGCTCTAAGTTTGCAGAAATATCCCAAGAGTGCAGTGAGTCCAAGTACTCCAAGTGTTCTCAGGGGGGACCTGAAGCAGAACTTGAGCTGTTCCCTGCACCTGCTGGCACAGAGCCCCCATCCTGTTGTGCTGCCCATGATGGAGGGTCTGCGAGCATGAAACTGAAGTGCAGCTGTGCAAAGGAAGTTGATTTATTTTGCCTCTCATCCAGACTCCTTGTGCTGAAGCTGTGTCTCCCTCCAGGCTGTGATCTCCCAGGTGTTCTCCAAGGTATGTGTGCCCTTACCTGTGTGCTCTCTGCCTCAATCTGGCTCTCCTGAGCTCCTGGAAACATCATGATCTTAGCTTTGGTCCCCAGCACAAGGACATTAAATTTTGGTTGTGGGGTGCTCCTGGCCTCCTTCAACATTTCAGCTTTCCCAGTGAGATCCCAGGGCTGTGTTTCATAGGTGTTTGGCAAACAAATAAGAAGACTCAGTAACAGGATCGTTATTGTATTGATATTTTCTTTGTTTTCCATAGTATAAATTTTCAATAGTTTTCTCCTATGCCTGATAAGGAATTTTATACCACAAGTATTATGCTGTACCTGTGAATGTAGACAATTAAATCAATGCTGGTTTTTGGCACTTCTGCATTGTCAAACACTTGGAAATCTGCAAGTAAGCAATGTCTGGTGCTCTACCTCAGGTGAAGATTTTGTGATACAGCATGAGAAAGGTGGTTCTTATGTTCCTTGCAATCTGAGCACCAGAAGGATCTATCAGACAGTTACAAATAGAAGTTGTGTTTAATGTTTTCATCTCTAGGTATCTTGCCCCTGGACACATCCAGTCCAGTGCCCTACTCAGTGCAGAGTTGCTCAGGGACTTGTCCAGTCAGGTTATGAATATCTCCAAGGATGGAGATCACACAACTTCTCCCAGTGAGCTGGAGGCACTTTCCCTCAAATCAGTGAAGATACAGTAAAAAGGCTGTTGCCAGAAAAGCCCCCAGTTCAGGCTGGGCAGTGAAATCCACAGCTCTCATCATATGTGTGTGACTGGGATCGGTGTCCAAGCTGAGCCTGGAAATTTAGACAGGATGTGCTGTGGCAATCTTTGTGAGAAGGTGGTCAGGATGTCAATTTACATCTCCTTTGGAAAGTGCAACAGATTTGGAGGATTGAAGGAGATTGAAGGATTGAAGTTCTGTGTCTGAGTTGACCTGAATTTATTCCTTCAGAAGGAATTCTCCAGTTCCCAACTGGAATCCAGAGCTGAACACCTCTGTTTCCCCTCCCTGCACCAGGCAAACTCTTTCCTGACTTACAAACACCTGAGTCTTCAGTGAGAAACCCCAAGAATCTACATCATTTCTGAGTCCCAGACAGTTGCAGCTGATTTTGGTGATTAAATCCTTCTTGTTATCTCACTAATGGAGAACTGATATAAATCAGCAGTAGCTGCAATGACATGAAAAGAGTCAAAATTACATGAGATCAAAATGGAGCCTCTCTAATTGCTTTAACTACCACAGCCCTTCCTCATGGTGACAGCCTGGCTCCGTGGCTGATTTACCTCTTGCAGAGGCTGTTAGAGCCTTTGGCAGCTGCGGGAGGAAAGTGCAGATGTGGAAGCATTTAAACTGTTTTTTCTGTAGTATTGACAAGGGGCTGGGCTTGTCCTAAAGGCTAGAGATAAAGAAAGCACAGCAAGAGCAATGAAAAGCCAGAAGAAATCTTGTGTACTTTTCTTGGAAAAACTCGGGCAGCCTGACAGATATCCACTGACTTTTCTTGGAAAAACTCGGGCAGCCTGACAGATATCCACTGACTTCCCACTGATTCCACCAGCAGCAGCATGCTGTAGATCTCAGTATAAACTGTACCTACTCCTCACTCCACCTTCTGAGCTGACAGCCAGGTTAGACAGCAATTCTCCTGGACAAAGCATGATTTAAAATCAAAGTGGATTTTGCTCTGTTCGTGCTGGCTGCTGGGGACAAGAGAGAGGCAGGCTCCAGATGCTGCTCTGTCTCTGTGTGTGGGTGCTCAGCAAAGCAGAGAGGTTGGTGGAGGGATGTCACCTTTTGAAAGTCACTGGTGTTGGTCTTGGAGTGTCAGGACTGGGCTCCGTGTTGTCCCCAGTAATGTCAGAGCTCAGTGAGCCAGGCATGTTTTTTTCTGTTTTGGTGTTTTTTTTTTTTTTTTTTTTTTTTTTTTTTTTTTTTTTTTTTTTTTTTTTTTTTTTTTTTTTTTTTTTTTTTTNTTTTTTTTTATTTATTTGGCAAGGGCAAAGACAGGGAGCACAGATGTAAGTGGATGGAGAGAGACAGGTTAGCACCCAGCACTGCTCAGGACTGCTTTCCTGCTGCATGGGGATTCTCTCTGGCCAGGGAAGAGGGAAAAGCACATCCAGAGTGCTGAGATTGGCTGTGCTGATTTGAGCTTGGAAACTCTGCTGATCTGAGCCATAAGCAAGAAAACAGGTATTTTATAGACATTGCAAAATTCCACTCAAAACTGCTTTCGTATTCAGGTCACATAGCCAGCAGCATGTCAGGAAAACCTAGGAATCCTCCTGAGAGCAGAGCTTAACCTGCAAAACAACCTTGGGCTGCAGAAGTATTAACTGTGCCTACACTAAATTAAGAGGAGGTGGCATCTGGGAGAATTTCAAAGTCCATTTCAGCAAGGAAAAATCATCAATAAAATAATGTGGAGATTTATGCTGAATCTCTCAATTTATTTGAATTAGTGGAGCATAGAGCTCTATCTGATCTCTTTTAATCAAATTGAGGCATGAACATCACGGTTTTGCTCTTGCCCCAGCAGGAAGTGAGATCTGTCCTGCCTCAGGCTGCAGGGACAGTGAGTGCCTCTTCCTGCACTGATGCCAGAGTGGAGGGGAAAAAGGGGGAACTCTTCTCCATTTCACACTTCAGAGCCAGAGGATTCCATCTCTCAGCCACGAGAGTTAATTATCCAGCAGAATAAGCAGCCTAGTGCAACCATGCCATACTTTGACTAATTTTAATATCACTTCATCTTAATATGCAGGATTAATTTGTTCTACTGAACAGCTTCCATAAATAGAAACACAATAGGTTATGCTGTCAGCAGCCTGATCCAGGGCTCTGCTGTTCTGGGGTGTTCTTTGCCAAGTTTGGGGTTCAGTGACCTTGGATAACCAAGCAGTTAAAGAAAATCTGGCACCTGTAAGTCTAATGACTCCACTGTGTCCCATCTCCCTCCAGTTTGTACTCTCAGGGGCACAGGCGCTGTCAGTATAAAGAAAGGAAGGTGGGGAGAGGGACAATTCCCTGTTCCCAGCTCTTCTTTCCCTGGGGAAGGCAGGGGGTGATGCACAGCCCGTGTCAGCTGCAGAGCTGTGCTGCTGCTGCCTTCTGTGCATCTGCTGCCTCCCTTCAGCCTCCAGACAGGAGCTCTCTCCATCCCACCTGCATGGACTTATGCTGGAGTTTGTACTTGCAGAAGCAGAGACAGGAATTCTTCAGGTTTGCTCAAAATAATTCCATTATTTCCACGTCTGGAATCAGTTATGCTGCAAAGATGGGGCGACTCCTTATCTTACTCACACCCCAAAGCCAGGCCTTTTATGTTTGTGCTGCTGCTTTTATCTGGGCACCCCCCACTCAGCGAACCTTCAGGGTCTTTGTTTGTCACCAGAGATGGAGATGGGCTCTCAGCAGTCCCCACCACCTTGCCTGCCCTGCAGAAATGGTGCCATTTCCATTCTCACTGCCTCACGGATGCTCCCTGCACATTTCTAGGGGTGTTCACTGCCATGGGGAGCCATTCCTGGGTGGGAAGTGACCTGTCCACAGCTCCACGAGAATGTGCTCGGCGAGTCCCTGCTCCTGGAAAGAACTTGAAAAGGATGAGTGAGGCTCCAGACCTGGGGGCACAGGACCTCGTGTGGAATGGATGGAGGCTGAAAGTTGCCCTGCTCCAGGCGTGTGAGCTCAGTTTGTGCCCTGATTTCTGCTTTCTCTGCTCTGTATTTATCAGTGAAGCAGGAGCTGGAAGCCTTATATTGCTCTAAAGCGAGGAATGGATGTAATGAGATGAGAAGCCCTCCAGAAACCCATTTAGGAACAAATTTTATTCTGTCCTCCTACCTCAGAATTAATTTTCATTGTTTCCTCGGTGTGGTAGAGTAGAAGCTTCTGGCCAGAAGAGGTGAGATTAACATACACCTGCAGGCAGGGGTACTGAGAGATTTTCCAGCACTCTGGACCGCAGTTAAATGAGCAGTTAAAGGTTTCTGTGATGGATGCATTGAGAAGTGAGCACTGAGACTCTTCTGTCCAGACACTAAGCAGGAAAAAAAGAGACATTAGAGCATGGCAAGAATAGGTAAATAAGCACTAAATCCATCAGGATTCCCATCAGAAATATACTTGGGGGCATCTTGCAGGAGAGGCTACGTGTTTCAGCAAAGCCTGGGCTGTCTCATGTCACACATTACAGTGTTTGATTCTGTAGTACTCAAAGTTTAGCCTTTGGGCACAAAATTACCCTATTCACTTATGTCTGTGCATAAATGGAAAGTGAACCTTTCCATATAAAGAAAACTGAGCAGCCTGTGCTGGGGAGAGCACAACACACACAGTGCTGCATGACAAGACACCTGAGCTAAGACTTGAGGGTTAACTCAAAGCCCAGCTCAATTTAAAGTGAAGTTTGAGGGGACAATTTTGAATTAACAGGGTCTGGATTCTCATACATGTGAAGACATAGGAACTCTCAAGTGGTACCTCATGCAGCTCTACCTATGGAAAGCTTTTCCTAGTGGCAGCTTGCTCAGTTTTCTCTGAGTTAAGTCACTGGTTGTAACTTTTCTGGAGGATTTAAACTCATCTCCAATTCACCAGAGGCTAAAACTGGAACGATGGAGCCTGGCTGTGCACTAGCAATATTCACTGGCATGTATTAAAAAATCTACAGCTGTGTTTTCCTTGGGGAAAGGGCACACTGAGGGCTTTGCAAAAAGCCCTTTGTGGGCTGGGGGGAGGTTTCACCCAGGGCTCCCCTTTAATCGTGTCCAGCCCTTCAGCTCACCCCCAAGGAGCCTGTCTTACCCTACCACGAAGGGGATGAGGTTCTGCTTGCCCCTGTAAAAAACTATGAGAGCTTTACATTGCAAGGGATATCAAAGATTTCTCACTAATTCTATTGCTGTTTTACTTAAGCAGTAATTCTGCTTGTATATTCTGTTTTATATTTATGTTAAATTATGCTATGTTTTCTGGGGGGGAATTGAATGAAAGGTTTTTTTTCACCCTTCCAGGCAGTATTTGTTGGAGGGATGTTGCTGTAAAGGAGAATAACCCCTGAGGAGATCTGTGTGGCAAAAAGTGACAGCAAAGGCTCCTGGGTTGTCTTCTCCTCACTTTCACCTTTCTGCTGCTGTTTTATTCATGCAGGGGGTTAATAAAGTAAGACCTACCTACCACAGACTTGTGAAGATGGAATAGTTGATGCCTTGAAGGTGTTTTGATATCATCTGGCAATTTTTTTTTTTCACATATCATATAATATAAATCAACTCTTTCCACATGAGCAATTTTGACCTTAGCAGCCTCTGCAATTGACCCTGATATTGCTGAAGGATCTGGAAGAGCAATTTGGAATAGCAAATGCTCTTGGATACTTAACAGGCCTTGATCTCAGTTTTCAAAATCTAAATTTTGCCTTGATTTAAAAAGGGACAAATAACTTTATCACATAAATAATATGTCTGTGAATCTGTACAGCTTATCCTCATCCGTCTTCCTTATCACTGCAGGGTCTAGAGGGAATATTCTCATGTAGGGCACCAGTATAACCGAGGATGCTCACACCAGTTAACTCTAGGCACTTCTTGAATGTGCCTTGTGGTGTATAACCCAAAATGTTCCAGGTATGTGCCTCTGCCTTAGTGTGGTTTGGAGCTTGGCAGACTAATATTTTGATCCCCAGTTACACATTTTTCATTCTCTGAACTCCACCAATCAGGACAGGGAAAACCCCATCACTGACAGTCTTACTGCAGTCTGTGCTGGATTTTAAATAGGGCTGATGCTTGAAAACTGATTACAAATGTTGTTAATGAATCACAGGCCACACTCTCTTCTTGGTGGCAGAGGAGGAAGGCAGAGACAGCCTCAGAAAAATTAAGTGCAGTGCAGGAGTGATGGAAGTTGGTCTTTTGCTTTCAGCAAATTACTATCTTTCATGAGGATTTCACTTGTTAAAATGAAAGTCATAACTGACATGGAAAACTACATTCTACAAAGAGCTTGATTTCTTTCCCAAATTAATTCTCCATCTTTCATTTGGAAGTGTACTGTTTCTCAAGGCTGGAATTTTTTTTTTTTTTTTTTTGTCCCAAGTCTGGGCTTTGCAGCAACAGCCCCTGAGGAGCTTATAGGGTTCAGCAGACTGCAGGCCAGCTGATATGGATATTATACTGGTGTTAAACTGTGCCAAGTCTAAAGCCTGGGGATCGAGATTTTGTCAAACAGGGATCTAATTCTTCCCTCACTTTATGCCAGTATTACCCGAAATGCTTTCACTGCAGCTGTGCCAAATTTATACTGGGGCAAGGAAGTGCACAGTTATTATACTGGGGCAAGGAAGTGCTGACCAAATGAACAATTATAAAACTTTAATAAATGTGGGAATCCAGAGCTTCCCTCTGGCTGCCCTGGCAGGTCTGGGACCCTGGCAGGGGTCAGGAACCCCC